ACGTATTAATTTTAAAAGTCAGCCACCGCGCTCCGACCTCAAGACAAATTACACCGTTTTGTTCCCTCTGACTACCACAAAAGACACCATAATTCTCCCATAAAACAAAACAGAGGCACCAGACCGAAAGTATCAAATATCGAGGAGCACGGGAGGAGGTGACGTAACCGACCAGCAACAATGGACGCCGTATTACCATGATAAATGCTAATTGGATACAGTAGCGTCCATTATCAGGTGCAGCGAAACGGCGGGACAATGCGGAATTTCGCCCGAAAATTGAGCACGCAGCTGTTTCGGGAACGAATCTGACAAAACGCGAATTTTATTCGCGACGGCAGGATAAATTCCGGTTAGCTCATTTAGTTGAGTAATGGGTGGCATTATCCTACCGTTGCGGAGGTCGAGTGGGTTCGGAAATACCCGTGAATCTCTGAGGATTATGATACTGATGTTTTATTCACAAATGTTTTAATACCCTTAAGCAAACTATAGTATTGGTTATGAAATAATGAATACACTTAAGGGGACTCGCTAGACGAGGTATAACATTTTTTTGGTTTTGGATAGATGTATCATACATCAAACTGCAGCTTTTTTTATATTCTAGAGCGCAGAGACCAGTTCAATCAACTAAAAAAATATGGCTGAAAAATATCGTAAAAAAGCACCATTGTATGTTTTCTTTTCAAGTTTTTTGAGTCATAACCATCATAGAATCGCTTGAAAATTCGCACATGGATAAAACATCACTTTTTACAAGGCGCAGAGTCATTAAATGTTTGTTAGTGGTACAATTTGTTTAAATAATAATGTGTTTATTAAAATCAAAATATATCACAAATTAATGCAAAATACGTCGAATAATTTTAACAGGAATATCAGAGGAAAATGAATGATCTATTGGTTAGCAGAGTATTTAACAAAAACTAGCAATTATTGAAAAAACTGGCTATCAATTCGACAGAATTTGAGCAGTTAGTTCAGTACTTTGCCGATAGGAGCGCCACTAACATTTACGGAAGCTTGTTTCATAGACCAACAATATTTTTTTGTTATTAAACCAGGACCGATTTAATCACAGTATATTTACTTATCCCTCCTAAAAAATGGATGACGTCACCCCAAAATTTTTCTGAATAAATCCTATCTAAATTGTATAAAATACGATGAGTATCTTCTTGTGATTTATCATTCCATTCATGTTTTTTGGATTTGCATATACAGGATGACCCCAAAAATTAATTAATGCGTAAATTTATTTTATTGATTTAATCAGGAACTACAGAACCCAATGGTTTGAAATCTTGCAAATGTTTTAAGGTTATATAGCATAATACATTTTTAGTCAAAATATATTTGCTTATCCCCTCTAAAAAATTGATGACGTCAGCTCAAAAGTTTGCCGAATAATCCTATTTAAAATGTACAAAATATGATGAGTCTTTTCTTGTAATTTATCATTCCATTCATATTTTTTGGATTCGGATACACAGAGTGACTCAAAAAATTTAATGAATGCGCAAATTTATTTTATTGATTTAAGGGTTCTATTTATTTGGTCAGTATTTATATGAATAAAACGCAAGTATTTTTAATAAAAATGGTCAGTATTTTGTGTATATTACGAGCAGTATAATATACATCATTTTCAATATAATATTGATTTGAGTAAAATAATAATTCATGTATGGTCAGTAATTTTATATCCTTTTATCAGTAAAAACTTTAGATACTGTTAGTAAAAAATAATTGAACGTCTTTAAAATACAATTTTATTTATTATATTAAATAAACAACAAATAAATGGTAGTAAATACATTTTTATAGGAACATACTATAAATGCAATTTAACGAAAAATATCATTGTCTTACAAATAAACGAAAAACTCTGTATCGATAAAACTTAACTGTAATTATTTCTTGTAAGAACATAACAAAAAATATAGGAATAATTGTCTTAAAAATGAAAAATAAACAATAAACTCTAAAATGTAATAAAATAAGAAATTACAGTCAATCAATTAAGAGAGCCCGTGTTTTTTGGGTCTCTCTCTTGACCGTTTTTTACCTATAGGTACTTGTTTGGCACTGGGAGGAGGTGCGACATATTTTAACCTAATGGATAATCCCATTATATGTTTACAAATATAATCCTTAAAAAAACTGGGACAAGTACATCGTCCATTCATCCAGTTTTCTTTGTTGTCTAGTAAAGTTACAATCCAAACTTTAAACGGTCGTTTTTTAAACTGGTCAAAACTATTCCACCTCATTTCTGTTACCTTCAAAATATCTTCTTGTGAAACACTAACCTCTTCATTTGCTGGACATTTTATAGGTTATGTTTTTGCCGCGAAACTACATACTGCCACATTACATTATAAAAAACAATTTTAATTAATTTACAGACGTTACAAATTAAAATACTGCTAGTTTGTCTTTAATACATTACCTAATATTTAAAATACTGACAAAATATAAATTTTACTGACCACATTTTCACTGATCATAAGCTACTGACCTCATCCAAAACAAACTTATTTCAAACTATAAAATACTGACCATTTATTAAATTTACGGACAAAAAACAATTTAAAATACTGACCACATAAATGACAGCCTTGATTTAATCAGGAACTACAAAACCTAATGCTTTGAAATCTAATGTGAAAAAAAAACATAATAGACATGCAGTCGTCACGTTTCCGATAGCGAGGGAAGTACTGTCTAAACTCTTTAGACCGATTTTTTTGATTTTTCCATTTCTCCATTTCTCAATTTTTCAATGTTTCAGTTTGGGATTTTTTCACTGTTTCGACTCTTTAATTTTCCTTCCATTTTTAGGTTTTTCAATATTTCAGCTTTGGAATTTTGCAATATTTCGTTTCTTCAATTTTTCAAAATTTTGATATTGTTTTCTCGGTTTTTAAATTTTAATTTTTCAGTTTTTAAGGTTTTAGGTTTTTAGATTTCTCACTATCTCGACTTTTCGATTTTTCAGTTCCATGATTTTTCAATTTGTCGAATTTTTAAATTTTAGATTTTTTGTTTTCTTTAATGTTTTGAGTTCTCGATCATTCGATTTTTTGAGTTTTCAGGCTTAGATTTTTTTGTTGTTCAATTCTTGGATTTTAAAAATTTTTGTTTAAATTTTCCTATTTATCAACTTACTGGGATTTCAATGTTTTGATTTTTTGATTGTTCAATTTCTTGATTTTTTGAATTTTTAGTTTTTGATACGATTTTTTTTTTTTAATTTTCAGTTTTGAATTTATTAACTTTACGATACTTCAGTTTTGCTCGATTTCGATTTCTCAATTTTTCGACATATTACTGTTGGGATTTTTCAATTTTTCGATTCTTCGATTTCTCGATTCTTCATATTTTCGGTTTCTCGAATTTCTTCATTTTTCGATTTCTCAATTTCAGTTTTACGATTTTTAAACTTTTTTGTTTTTCAGTTTTCAATTTTTGACGTTTCGAAATTTTTCGATTTCTCAATTTTTCGATTAACTGATTTTTTGATTTTCCCATTTCTCTATTTCTTGATTTTTCAATTCTTTCTTCAATTGTGATTTTTCAATTTTTCGATTTCTGAATATTTCAATGTTTCAGTTTTGGATTTTTTCACTTTTCCGATTCTTCAATTTTCTTTCCATTTTTCAGCCTGTCATAAATTATCATTATTCTTCATTATCGGCTTACGATGTTTTTATGACCCACGTCCGGTAGATTTAAACAAGAATTGCTGGTTGCGTTTAAGGCAATAAATGGCGCCCAATTCAAACTTGTCTCTCGCCTAGCGTTCCCCCTTAATAGAACGTTATAAAGCTCTGTTTTATTCCCCATTCTGATATTGTAAGGTTCCTACTGTTCTGATATAAAGTGGGATTTATAAACTTGCTGTTAACGTTAAAGTTTCCGTTGCAGTTGATGTTCCCGCTGAGGTTAATAAAATTATTGTATTATTATTATTCTTGACTAGTGATTTATATTCAATAAAATAAAAATAATTTAATCACGTCTGTCGTATGTAATAACAGAGGTGCGACTGAAGACTGAACTGAAAATCATTTATGGTACTCGTAATTTAAGACGAATAGTGATAACACTTATCAACCTGTAGACGTCAGAGTGAAATAGAAACTAAACTAAAAGATATTTTCTACAAATTGCAGTAACCGAATCACAATGCCGACGGTCCAAACTTTTTTATTGCTCTGACTTTCGCTTATTGAATAAAACACTGCATTTTATTTTGATTTTCGATGTTGTAATTCACATTTGGTTAATTATTACTTGTCTAGATCTATGGGAGGCTCAGGATGTAATGCTTAATATAAATACAAAATTTGACAACAATCGACCCAGTACTTTCAGAGATTATCTGTCTAATAAAAATCCGGGACGGCAGACAGACGAACAGACAGACAGACGGAAACGGTTGCTTACGGAAGTAAAAAATCAGGTTGACCTTGCGTCACGAAAACAAATGAAGCAAAACAATTTTTTTGGCGAATAATTAGAGCTTCTTGCACCCCTATACTTAATTTCAGTTGATTTGTGCAATTTCTCTACAAGAAATAAAAAATTTATAAATCGGTATTCAAAAAGTCCGTACTGGTCATTGAATTAGCATTCCCCATTTCAAAACCGTAACTATATTTGGACTTGTACCATGAAATAGAAGCAAAAACTACGAACTTCCCAAAACTGTATATAATTATTATCAGTGCTTGGAAAAAATCGACGTAGCAATAATTGGCATCCGTGAAAACTTCCCACGCCCACCTTCCTCGCCGCTTTACCCTTCGACCTCACCACCAGGCAAAAATCCGGTAGCTCCGGCCGGATTCCAAAAGGCCGGCCATGTCCTTGATCGTACTAACTTTTTCTCGATCCAGACATACCGCGCAAACCCATAATTATAAAGATCTAATAAATTAAAAGCCGATACGGCGACGCCCATCTAACGTATCTTCTGGTGTTGATTCCAGGCGAGACCACAACAGAAGCCATCGACAGCACTCCTCAATTACAAGCCACGAAGTTGGTGAGAAAACGTCGAATGGAGCGCATTACGAACAACAACGGGCCGACAGCGACTCCGGAATACGCGCTCCACAACAACAACAACAACCACGTCAAAAACGAGAGGCTGAGTCCGGGCACTCCGGACGTGTCGAGCCGATCTCGGTCCGTGACGCCGTCGTCGGTCTCGCACCCGGACACCCCGCCGGCGTCGGACGCCCACCCCCTGCCCCCGGTCTCCGGGAGGAACTACAGCGACTTCATGCGCAGCCTCGCCGCCAAATACAACAACGCGAATCCGAACGAGTGAGTGTTGCGAAGTTGTTGGGCGACCCGAATTGCGGTAACGCGGTTTTTTCAGCTACTTCAGCGCCGCCCGGAACGGCTTCCCCCCTCCGCTCGACCCGCGTTTCAAGCCGACCAACTTCCCGAACCTCATTCCCGCCCTTCAGCCGACGAAGGAGCCCGAAGCCGCCCCCAAGAAGACCGACTTTACCTCCCTGCTCAACCCTTTCGCCAATAGCCATATGTTCCCGCCGCTGATCGACATGTCCACGACCCAGACGCTGCTGGCCATGGTGCGGACGGCCAAAGAGGCCGAGCTTCAAGGGCTGCTGAAGAGCGTGAAGCGGCAGGACGCGTCGTCGCCCTTGGACCTGTCGGCGGCAGCGGCGCCGCCCTTGAAGAGGGCGCGGATGAAGACGTCGTCGTCGAGCAGCCCCAGCACTCTGTCGAAGCGAGCGCAATCGGAGAGCCCCAGACTGCACGAGGATGTGTCCAGCTGGACGGTGGACGATGTCTGCAATTTCGTGTCGAGCATCGATATCTGTGCGGAGTATGCGCAGGTAGGATTATTTTTTTTAATATGGTTTACCTCCGTTTACGGGCTCAGCTGACGGAGTCGACATGGTCGACTATATATATTTGTTTTTTAATGAGATGTAGCTTTTTCTACAAAATTTTATCAATTTCTATTTTTTTTTTTTGAAAATATGTGAATATATGAATTGTGTAACCGTAATTTACACACGATTTCGCGTAAGTCCGATTATTTTACTACTAGGGTTAGAATAATTCTCAATTTCTCAATTTTTGGGACCGGAAAAAAATCTATTTTTATTTTAGTTAAAAAAATATTAAAAAAAATAACGTCATAATGAAAATTGACGCACAGTTTTGTAAACAAATGGAATAGTTTTCAACAATTATTAATAAGATGTAATATATATTCCGTAAATTTTTACCCAGGGCAAAGTTTTATTAATTTTCGAAAACATTATTTTTCAAATTCTTGTAATGTTTTGAGTTCCAAAATATATGTTTTTTGGATTTTTACTTGCCGACCATAAACCATTATATTTTCTCGACATTTCATGACCCCTACAGTACGCAAACATAAGTTTCTCGTTTCCATTTCCATGTCTGCCTTCTGTCCGCATTTTGTTATTACATTTTTATTAGATAGATAGTCATCTAAACTACCGAACTAATTGTTGTCAAATTTTATATATACATTAGGAATATCATGAGGATGATGAAACGCTGACCAAAATTTATGTGGCCGTCTCCACCAACGATATGACATCATCTTCAACTTTTACACTCTTCCACTTGTATTTTTGTAAAATAAAAATCAAAATTGTATAAAAACATTTTACAAATTTGACTTTTAAATTTTAAAACCGAATGCTCTGAAACCTTACAAAGATATTAAGGTTATCCGAAACATGGTAAATCGTTAATCGAAATTTATCCGTTTACGACCCCCTTAAAAAATTGATGACGCCATCGCAAAATTTTACCGAATAAATCCTGTAAAAAGTGCTAAATATCATGAATTTATTATTCCATTCAAGAACCTTAGGGGTCCTTCATATTTTATCTTTGAAATAATTTTATTGAATCTTGGGGACCTCTAGCGTCGTTTTCATTGAAATCTTAAGATTCCATGTGTTTTATCTTTGAAATTAATTTGAAAAAAAAAACAGTAGACCGGGAGTATTTTCTTTCTGGAAGATTCTGAAAAGATCATTGGTTTCGTTATCTTTTAGTTTTGAAAAGAATTTGAAAAAAAATTTCGCGAATCCCTGGTGTTTTATTTTTGAAAGAGTTTGAAAGAATCTTTGGGACCTCTACCATTTTTTTTTAATATAATATGAAAGAATCTTAGGATTCACTCGTGTTCTACCTTTGAAATAATTTGAAAGAATCTTGGGGGAATTCAGCGCTTTTTTTTAAGAATATGAAGGAATCTTCGGGACTTTCGTGTTTTATTTTTGAAACAATTTGAAAAGATATTGGAAATTTCTGTTTTGCTTTTGAAATGATTTAATCTCTTTATTATGGTGTTTTATTTTTAAAAGAATGTTGGTACCTACAATTTGTTTTACTTTAAATATGTGAAAGAATATTAGGGATCCATTGTGTTTTACTTTTTAAAGAATTAAAAAAAAAACGTGAGAATCCCCGCTGTATTATTTTTGAAAGAGTTGGAAAAAACCTTGGGACCCCTTAGTGTTTTCTTTTTAGAAGAGTTTGAAAGAATCTTGGGGGCACCTAGAGTTTTTTTTAAGAATATGCAAAAATCTTCGGTGTTTGTGTGTTTTATTTTCGAAAAAATTTGAAAAGATTTTGGAAATTCTTAGGGTCTTGTTTTCGAAGTAACTTTAACGAATCTTGGGGACTCCTAGTGTCTTTGTTTAAATATGTGGAATAATGTTAAGTGTACCTCGTGCTTTACTTTTGAAACAATTGAAAAAAATCGCGGGAATTCTCGGTGTTTTATTTTTGAAAGAGTTTGAAAGAATCTTTGAGACCTCTACCATTTTTTTCTTAATACATGAAAGAATCTTAGGACTCGCTCGTGTTCTACCTTTGAAATAATTTGAAAGAATCTTGGGGGAATTCAGCGCTTTTTTTTTAAGAATATGAAGGAATCTTCGGTGCTTTTGTGTTTTATTTTTGAAACAATTTGAAAAGATATTGTAAATTTCTGCTTTGCTTTTGAAACAATTTTAATTTCTTTATTATGGTGTTTTATTTTTAAAAGAACCTTGCGACTTTCCGTTTGGTTTCCTTTAAATATGTGAAAGAATATTAGGGATCCATTGTGTTTTACTTTTTAAAGAATTAAAAAAATCTTGACAATCCCCGATGTATTATTTTTGAAAGAGTTGGAAAAAACCAATCTTTGGAGCACTTAGAGTTTTTTTTTAAGAAAATGCGAAAATCTTCGGAGATTGTGTTTAATTTTTGAAAAAATTTGAAAAGATTTGGGAATTGTTAGGGTCTTGTTTTCGAAATAATTTTCAAGAATCTTGGGGACCCCTAGTGTCTTTGTTTAAATATGTGGAATAATGTTAGGGGTATCTTGTGCTTTACTTTTGAAACTTCTGGATTTGTGTTTTATTTTTGAAAAAATTTGAAAAGATTTTGGGAATTCTTAGGGTCTTGTTTTCTAAATAATGTTAAAAATCTTGGGGACCTCTAGTGTCTTTGTTTAAATATGTGGAATAAATTCGGGGTACCTTGTGCTTTACTTTTGAAATAATTGAAAAAAACTTCGGGGATTCCCGGTGTTTTATTTTTGAAAAACAATCCTAGAGACCTCTGGTGTTTCCTTCATTGATGAAAGAATCTTCAGATCCCTTGTAATTTTTTTGTTTATAATATAGCAAAGGATCTTAGGATCTCCGGTGTTTTACGTTTGAAATATTTTGAAGAAAACCTCGACTCTTTCTGGAAGAGTCTGGAAAGATCATTGGTGTCGTTTATCTTTTAATTTTGAAAATCCCCGGTGTTTTATTTGTGAAAGAGTTTGAAATAATTTTTGGGACCTCTACCATCTTTTTCTTAATATATGAAAGAATCTTAGGACTCACTCGTGTTCTATCTTTAAAATAATTTGAAAGAATCTGGGAGGGGGTTCAGCGATTTTTTTAAAGAATATGAAGAAATCTTCACAGCCTATGTGTTTTATTTTTTAAAGAATTTGAAAAGATCGATCTTGGCAATTCCTAGTGTTTTGTTTTTGAAATATTTTAAAGAATCTGGGGAGACTTTTAATCTGTTTATTATGGTGTTTTATTTTTAAAAGAATCTTGGGACCTTGAGTTTCTGTTATTTTAATTATTTGAGAAAATCTTACGGATCGCTTGTGTTTTACTTTGTAAAGAATTAAAAAAAATCTCGTGAATCCCGGGTGTTTTAATTTTGAAAAAGTTTGAAAAAACCTTAGGGATCCCTAGTGTTTTCTTTTAGAAGAATTTGAAAAAATCATGGAAGCATCTAGAATCTTTTTTAAGAATATGCAGAAATCTTCGGGGGTTTGGTGTTTTATTTTTGAAAAAATTGGAAAAGATCTTGGAAATTCTTGGGGCCTTATTTTTGAAATAATTTTAAAGAATCTTGGGGACCTCTAGTGTCTTTCGTTAAATATGTGAAAAAATGTTTAATGTATTTTGTGTTTTATTTTTGAAATAATTAGAAAAAAACCTTGGGTGTTCCGGATGTTTAATTTTTGAAAAATAATTCTCGAAACTCCTGGTGCCTTTTTCATTGATGAAAAAATCTTCACATCCCTTGTGATCATTTTTTTTAATATGGGAAAGAATTTTAATCCCAAGTGTTTTCTTTCTGGACGAGTCTGAAAAGATCATTGGTGTCGTTTATGTTTTAGTTTTGAAAAAAAATTGAAAAAAATTGGGAATCCCCGGTGTTTTATTTTTGAAAAAGTTTGAAAAAACCTTGGGGATCCCTAGTGTTTTCTTTTTAGAAGAATTTGAAAGAATCTTGGAAGCATCTAGAATCTTTTTTAAGAATATGCAGAAATCTTCGGGGGTTTGGTGTTTTACAATTGAAAAAATTGGAAAAGATCTTGGGAACTCTTGGGGTCTTGTTTTTGAAATAATTTTAAAGAATCTTGGAGACCTCTAGTGTCTTTCGTTAAATATGTGAAAAAATGTTAGGGATATTTTATGTTTTACTTTTGAAATAATTAGAAAAATGCCTTGGGCGTTCCGGGTGTTTAATTTTTGAAAAATAATTTTCGAGACCTCTGGTATCTTTTTCATTGATGAAAAAATCTTCACATCCCTTGTGATCTTTATTTTTAATATGGGAAAGAATTTTAACCCCGAGTGTTTTCTTTCTGGAAGAGTCTGAAAAGATCATTGGTGTCGTTTATCTTTTAGTTTTGAAAAAAATTTGGAAAAACCTTGGGGATCCCTAGTGTTTTCTTTCTAAAAGAATTTGAAAGAATCTTGGAAGCATCTAAAATATTTTTTAAGAATATGCAGAAATCTTCGGGGGTTTGGTGTTTTATTTTTGAAAAAATTGGAAAAGATTTTGGAAATTCTTGGGGTCTTGTTTTTGAAATAATTTTAAAGAATCTTGGAGACCTCTAGTGTCTTTCGTTAAATATGTGAAAAAACGTTTGGTGTATTTTGTGTTTTACTTTTGAAATAATTAGAAAAAAACCTTGGGAATTCCGGGTGTTTAATTTTTGAAAAACAATTCTCGAGACCCCTGGTATCTTTTTCATTGATGAAAAAATCTTCACATCCCTTGTGATCTGTATTTTTAATATGGGAAAGAATTTTAACCCCGAGTGTTTTCTTTCTGGAAGAGTCTGAAAAGATCATTGGTGTCGTTTATCTTTTAGTTTTGACAAAAATTTGAAAAAAATTGGGAATCCCTGGTGTTTTATTTTTGAAAGAGATTAAAAAAAACCTTGGGGATCCCTAGTGTTTTCTTTTTAAAGGAATGTGAAAGAATTTTGGAAGCATCTAGAATATTTTTTAAGAATATGCAGAAATCTTCGGGGGTTTGGTGTTTTATTTTCGAA